TGCTGAACCCAGTTCATTTATTTTATTCACCTAAAGTGCAGAATAATGTATTATTTTCTTTCCTTACAGAATGGCTAACAAGTTTCAGGTCAGCTCTCAGGCTTACCTATAATACTGCCTGCTATTCCCAGAACCAGAGTATTAGTCGTCTTCATAATTTCCTCTCTGAGGGAACCATTCATTCCATTTCACACTTCTCTTTCAATTACTTACAACAGGAGTACTGGAAAGATGGAATTGTAGCTCAGTGATTACTAAGAGCTCTTATCACAGCGCTGCAATACCACTGCAAATAATTGCCTTTGTAATGTCAGAAGAGTCATGGTCAACAAACGTTCACTTGCCAGGAGAACCAGTGATAAATGTCATTAACTTAAAAAACGTCTGACAGTTTGTCCAAACAATCTGACAACAACAAACATCTGGAACCATAACAGATGAATGGCATAAGTTCATAAAGTGAACAGTACAGAACAAGATGTATGCCACGATACAAGTAGGATAAATACCTTAATCATTAAAATGCATCCAATTTTCTATGGAATGAGTTACTACAATAACACTCATTCTAGAATGAGACATTCCAGCTTCTTTTTAGGGAATACGCTTACACTGTTATTATTTCACTTAGTTCCTTCAGTTGATCTTGCTGGAAAAAGGGGAAGCTTTTCCAAGCATCTTAGTTCAATAAAATAATCAGATGGCTGAAAAATCCCTTTGACATGGTCTACCATGTTTGCCAGCCACAGTGACTCAGTTGGGATTCTTAATTTCAGGTTGATAAACTTTCTTGCAGTTTCTATACAACTATATTTTATTCCAGGTTCATGAGTGTTTCAACACACACATTTCAGTCATGTAAGGAAATACATCTTTTTGCACAGTTTTACACCAAGAACCTTTGTACCACCCTATGACTTACCCTGAAAAAGGACTTTCTGAATGATGAAGTAAAACTGCTGCCCGCAACTAAAATGAGTTTAAAAACCTGATTAAATGTAATGTACATTGAACTTCCTATGTCATATTGCTATTCCATTTCTTCCCTTTATAGTTTAAATGGTAGTTACTAAATACACTTTTCCTGTTCTGGTTCAGGATGCCTTCATAGCCCACTACAAACAATCATCTGAAAGGTTGCATCTTCTGTCAATGAGAAAGATACTCCAGCTAATGACAAACTGTGGAAAAGTTTCATGTTTCATATAAAATCTTCAACAATTCTTGTTGCCAGTTATCCTTAAGAAAACAGTCTGGATTTCAATGAATTAAGTTATTTTACATGAACAGAACAATACCTCAGTAGTAGTAAGGTATAACAGTGTAAATCTTTACTTGTGAAAGACTCCATTTATTCATCTCTGATGGGTTATTTAGACTGCTAATTAATGTTCACATGGGGATGTCCTGGAGGAGAAAAGAGGTGGCTTTTCTGGAAAAGTCATCCTGAAAAAACTACGTAATGGTACATTTGTCTGTAGCACATCTAAATTGCTAATCACTGTACTATGTAATTTATTATTATCATCTTGCTGGTCTTGTAACTGGAGATGTTTTAGCCCCTTGTTTCAGAAATTCTGACAGTTGTTGTGCTGTGTCTTATCATAGCTTCTCCCAACATGTGGAATTTCATGATTACAAATAATTTGGAAAGGGTTTTTTTGCTTGAATGTAAATCACTATATGTATGTCTAAATTTCAGTATGTTATGCAGAAACAAGTTGCCAAATCTGCACAAAATTACAAAGGCGTCTGTATGCTACTTTAACATTTCCTGCCACTATACAAACATTTCCATCCAATTTCCTCAACCCCACAATGTGTATATGACAAACAGAATCCATTCCAAGAAATTCTGGTTTCAGTTGGTTCCTTCTCACTCCTTTCTTCATTATCATAATGGGCCATGAAAGGACAATTTAGCCTGGTTTCCAGGGTAAAGGGATCTTTCATTAGGGTTTGAAGCTCAATGTTGTCTATAGAAAGCAGGTAACAAGAAGCCTATGAACAAAAATACTCCAAAAAGTGATATACACACTCTAGAGGAGTGCAGTGTAACCTTAGAGACAGTTAATATTGCAGTTGTCCCATGTTTCTGAGAGGATATAGAGACAGAATATATTCATGTCCAAATTTCAGCATACAGAGACTTAAATTCTATGACATTTCTTGCTAATCATATCATCTGTCTGTCCGAGTTAATTAAGTCTAATTTAGGCACCCCTTTAGAACACTTCAAATACTTACTTACACAAGTTTTGTGCTAGTTTATTTCACAACCATAATAATTAGGATGCATAAATAGTCATCCTGTTGTCACCCATGGAATGCTCCAATGAATTCACATCTCACAGGAAGAATTTGATCCATTTGCTTAGGGTGAACCCTCCTTGAACCAGTGAAGTTCATCGGCTTCAAGGAAACTGATTACAATACGTTTCTATATTTTCAATTAGTTTTCATAGTCTTCAGATTTAATTGAATGGATTTCCACTTACATTACACCAAATTGTATTCCTACATATGACCAAAATGTTCACTTTAGAAAGGCAGTAGGAATTAGGATAATTTCTATTCAAGCTGTGCTCTCCCTGAAGAGGAATGTATGTTGACTGGGTGGGAAAACAATCCATGACAGCAGTGGCCCTGCTATTCCTCACTCCAGCAAATATGCATCTTCAAGGCAAATTAGCAGGTTCTTTACCTGTAGCTGACCAATTTCATCACCCAGAATCCACCATGTCTGCTCCTGCTATAAACACAGCCAATACAAATGGCAAAAAAAAAAACCCTTAAATGATTTAATTCTAGTGAAGGAGAGGTATAACTCTATGGCTTCCTATTCTTTCA